AAACGTCTAGTGAGAATCAAGTTTTAAATATATAATGACGATTCTCTACCCTTGCTGGTAGGTGGTATCACAAGTTTCATTCAGAATTCACTGTGGTTTTTTCATACATATATAAATGTAAGATTTATTTAAATCTCCACCACACAACTCGTCCCCTGGCAAAAAAGGCAAAGAAAAACTGGGAAACATGAAATTGATAATTTTGACATTGGTGTTATAAGAAGAAAAATTCACGAATTTCCTACTATACCCAAATTACTGAGTATTTTAAAGAAAGTTATTGATTTCAAAGCAGAACGTGAAACTCTTCGAAAATTGCTTCACAAAATATGATTTCCTTATAAGAAAATTGATTAAATAAAATTGATTAAATCGGGACCCGAAGACTAAAGCTATTTAACAATGGTAGAGCCGCGCGGCAGCTTTTGCTGTCGCACGGATGGGCCGACTCGAGCCGGGGTGGTGCCGCGACCTCGCAGAGGACCAGCGTGAGGTAGAGATTTGCCTCTGCGTTTCGCTTGGTTAGTGCAGGTGGCCGGAGGCCCTTTTTACTGGAAATGAGGCATTCCATCTTAGTCCTCACGGGTGACAACGCATCTACATTTTGATTTGTAATAGAGGATAGATGTAGATGTCTATGGGCCGCAGCAACCACTTACCATCAGGTGGACTGTGTGCTCGTTTGTCACCCTTATTCTATAAAAAAAAACCCTTCCACACCTATCGAGTCCAGATTTGTGATTTTATTTTTCGGCGCCAAAACAACTTAATATACCTATTGTGAACATGAATCATGTTGGTCTATAAATATAGAATTTATTAATTACTTAAATACAGAGCTACTTATCGGAACTTAGCTTAGTTATAAAACATTGTCTAGACAAAACAAATATATCGTGCAAATATGACCAATCAAACAAGTCGTTCAGAAGTTACACAATCACTAACATACGCACCCAGCGATTAAAATAATAGGTATTTAAATAGATAAATAATTAAAATTAAAATTCACAATTCACAATTGCTTTTCATCATCATCATCATTACAGACCTTCACAAGTCCACTGGTGAACATAGGCCTCCCCCGAGGAATGCCACAAAGCACGATCCTGAGCCACCTTCAATTGTTTTATCACGCTGAAAATAAGCAAAATACGCATCCAAGACAAATGCAATTCACACTTGCACAGCGCCATATAGTAAAAAAATAGAGCCGGCTTTTATCTAACGAAGCGATGTTAATAGGTAATGTTAATGTAACTTTTGTTTTTATTCTTATTTACTATAATTTTTATTAGAACGAATATTTGTTTTGTTAAAATGCTCTTTTTACTTTTCGATAATGTTGTTCTAAATTATTTACATATGAAAAATAATATTTTTTGTTTCATTTGTAAAGATACTATACACTTAAAACATTTTATACACAGTTTAATACACTCATTTCCTCCACAATAACATAAACGGGAATCCGTGTGCCTCGTCACGTTTTCCATTTCTGTCCCTTGTACTCGTGACGTATAATCCCTAATGGATTTAAAGATATTTGGTACAAAATATATTTACAATATTTTTTCATGAATTTCATTGCAAAATTGTCAATAAATCATTCAATCTGTCAAATACGTATGTTGCTCCTTTATTGTTGTGCACTTTGTTATTAATATAGGCTTATATTGTTCGTAGATGGAAAGCGTCCCCTGTGTTCCACCGCGCCTTGCTAGAAGAAATAAGCAGAATTTTTTTTCTATTCTCGGTAGGGACCGGTCAACGCAAGGTGACTGGAGCTGGTAACGGTTGGGTGTGTGCGAAAGCGTCCCATTCATATGCCCGCGTGCCTGAGCGGTTCTCACCGTTCAGAACTTCAAACGATACGAATTAGCCGTCAGATCTGGGGCCCGGCAGACGGGGGCCTGTTCGGACCTATTATAAGCTGCTAACCCCCTTCTACCCCTTTTTTAGACCGCGAACCCTGAGTCCGATGAAACCAGCCAAGAGGCTTGTCGGCAACAAAAAAGCTGGTGGAAACTAAGCTTCACAGCTTAGCTCACCGCCGCCAAGTTGCTTGTTTGTCGGTCTTCTACAGATTGTACTTTGGAGAGTGTTCCCATGAGCTTCATAAGCTCATACCGCCATCTCCATTCACCTATCGGAGTACCAGACGTACTGCAGGTTACACACTTGCACAGCACTTGGTTGATATTCCGAATATTTTTTTTTTAGGATAAGGGGGACAAACGAGCGCACAGTTCACCTGATGTTAAATGGTTGCTGTGGCCCATAGACATCTACATCTATCCTCGATCACGAATCAAAATGCAGATGCGTTATCACCCGTGAGGACTAAGATGGAATGCCTCGTTTCCAGTAAAAAGGATCTCCGGTTCTCTACACTCACCATACGAAACACAGCAGCCTTAGGCTTGTATTCTCTAAGAACGTGGTTCTTCCCCGGTCGAGCCGACCCATTCGTGCTACAACTACACCAGCAATACAGCTGCAGCATGGCTCTACCACATAAAAAAATACGCACTAAGCGCTATAAGTCATCTTTCATAATGCGCACAGTCAAAGGAGTGGAATACCCTGCCAACGTCTGTTTTTCCTAGTGCATATGACCTTAACCTCGTCAAAATGCGTTTTAGCAGACTTCTCCTGGATAAACTCACTCCATCGTAGACCTCATCTTTGCTCTCGGTCCAGATGAAGATCAAGAGTGAGCCCATTTTTAATTTAAACTCATTAAACTCTTGGGGGTCAAAATGGCAAAAAACCAAAAAATTTAAAATTCTTATTTCGGCTATAACTCTGCATCCTTCGGAGGTTCTTACACAGTCTTTACTTCCCGCATCCCACATGTTAATACGTATGTTGTTAGTTACTCTAAGAATGATATGTTTTTTTAGTACTGTGAAAATAAACGTTCATTAATTTTATGGAAATGATTGTAATCACCTCATAACTTATAAGTATAATCAAATAATCGTACTATTATTAAACATATATTTTTAAGTATTAAATATTGTTTATTAAAATGTTATGTAAATAAACATTGATATTGATATGATGACCGTGTAGTGGCGGTGTGAGAATATCCACTACCCCATATCGTCCCGTGGGTCTCGTGAGAGGCGACAAAGGGAAACAAACCAGGAGATTGGCAACAATTCAAAATTATAAAAAAAAATATGGTTGCTAGCCATAGCCAAGCATGACAACTATGGTGCAATTCCACTTGTGAGGCAATCTATGGGTGAGGCTTATGTTCAGCAGTGGATTTTTATAGGCTGTTGTAGATGAATGGAATAAATGTATTCTCTATTGTAGATAATAATATATTTGCAAAATATCTCAATTACATTATTACAGTACTGTAGATAACGCATCAGTTGACGTTTTGAATGTCAAGACTAACGCGTGTACACGGAATACCATCAGACGCAGTCTCTTGTCATATCACAGTCATGAGCCAGTCAAACCGGAGGTTTGCTTTATGCGCAATCATGTTTCATTATCTACCTACACCTACGTTCATGAGTGATGAAATAATTATTAGCACCCGATCAAATCAACTAATTTTAAGACACTCCTAAAAGCAGCAAATTTAAATTATATAATGTTGTAATTTATTAATGATGGTGTCAACTATCCAATTATACATATTAAATAAAACGAGCTCAGCGCCTTGCCCTTGAGTAGTGCTCGTTTAATATGGATCATGTCACCGATATGAAATGATAAATTGATCCTTTCAATGATATATTGCACGGTTCCCTTGTGGTATTTACCGAATTTAAAAACCTATTAAAAACATTTACTTACTAAAAATAAATGCTAATAATAACAAAAACTCAATCCAACGCAAGAATTATATATTTTCAGATGAAATCATAGATCTCAATTCAAATAGTCTTCTATTCGGTACACTCGCGCTCACAAATAATTTCAACAAAGCCATAAAGACAATAGAGTAACACGTACTACATCAGACAAACGACAACAGACTTATCAATGTCAATTCTATCTATCTGTCCATTACAGCCTATAAAAGTCCACTGCAGAAAATAGGCCTCCCCCATAAATAAATATAATTGACATTAATATGAAGCAATCTCATGAGGGGAATTTTGCTATAGTGGCCACACTTGGCAGGCGGGTTGACAACCCAGGGTTGAGCAGTTATCATGAAGATACTACTGCCCATCTACTGTTCCAGTTCCCCTATGTCGTCCCTTACGACACCCACGGGACGATGTGGGGTAGTGGATATTCTTACACCACCACAACATGACATTGTCAGTGCAAGTAAGCAATGGCAATATTTAGAGACGATAGCAGGTGAGCCGAAGGTATAACTTTGGCCCCTTAGGAGAGAGGCAAAGCCCAAAATGTTTGTTGATAAATGCATGGTCACTTTGGCGACAAGTTTTTCGTTTATAGGCGGAACTGTAATGTACAGAGTAAAAGGCGCAAACATTAGTCTCTGTGAGATAACTACATATTTTCGCCATTTGCTATACTGCGGTGAATAGGAATGTATGAAACTGTTAGTTTTTAGTTTTAGTTTCTTATAATTTTATAACTTTATGTAAATAAATAAAATTTTAATAATTTAATATAAATTTTATTCTTAAGGAAATATATTTAATAACTATTTACAAATTAATACAATCACTTAACAATAGCTTTTTACAAACTTAAGAATACACTTACAAAAATTATATTAATAAAATTATTATCATTACTTATATTATTTGAATTTATTAGTAGAAAGTTTAACTTATATTGATAAATTTGAATTTTACATGATGAATAAACACATTATCAAATGTATGTCACGTTTGTAGCAATAATTACTTAAAAATTATTAACCAAGTAAATTTTAAGCGAGTAGAACATGAAATTCATCTTTACAAAAGCAACGAAATATCTTGATATTACAAATATATGGTAACAGTACGTTCTTAATATTGCTTAATTCCTGTATATTACTATTTCAACTATTTCTCATAAAGACCACTTGTGTCCTCCCATAACGACAAGTCAATAGATGGCAGCACGTCACATGGCACTAACTTGTTCCTGTTGACATAAAACAACATTTGTTTATTATACTACGTTATATCATAATAGACTACACTTTATCGTGTAATAACAACTTAAGAAAATGATCACCCCATGTCATTTCTATACTATGACACGACTATACTATACACAAAAATGTTTTTTTCTAAAGACGGACGGGGCTCGTATGCAGTTATCTTACATTGCCTTTAGGTCAATATGCCTGTGATATTGATTTTATTAATTTCTGTAGTTTTCTATTATTGTTCTTTTTTATAGAATAAGGGTAACAAACGAGCACACAGTCCGCCTAATGGTAAGTGGATGCTGTGGCCCATAGACATCTACATTCATCTTCAATTGAGATTCAAAATGCAGATGAATTGTCACCCCTGAGTACAAAGACGTAATGCCCCATTTCCAGTAATGAGAGGCTCCGATCCTCTACACTCACTATACGAAACACAGCAGCATTATGATGCTATTTTACGCTGGTTTTCTGCGAGAGTGTGGTCCTTCCCCGGTCGAGCCGAACCATTCGTGCTACAACCATAATACAGCTGCAGCGTAACTCTACCACGTATAATTAGCGTTAACAACTGTAGAAAGTCAACATGGCTAACCTACTATAAAATACCCAGAGAAAAGAGAATATGTAAAATACCAAGAGCGGTGACTGAGAGCAGCATCAAAGGTGAAAGACATCTAGTAATGTGAACCAAAAGATGTGTAGTTGTGACAATTATTTCTACTGTGGGACAAGTAAAAAAGGAGATAAATATTATTATAATTATTAATACTTTGAGATATAAAAATCTTAATATAATAAGTTCAACTTAAAAAAAGGTAAGTTTGAAACTGTGTTGCCTATTATCAAATTATGTGACCAAGTAATAAAAATACAAGTAAGTGTTACATTATCAAAGTAACAGCACAGCAAGTATAAGATGATAAAGTAAAAACATAAATAATTTTTTTACTATAGAGGTACTATTTGACTATAAGGTGACGGTCCATGATAGATATTAATTAATTAAGTTTTCGCTTGATTTTAAAAAACAAAAATATAAGAAACGGAATGCATGGCTTACAAGATACAAAATGTATGTTCTTTTTATATCACAATTTATATATTGATAAAACTCTACGTACTAGACAAATGGCGATAGAAATTGCGAACAAACCACGCTCTCACAGAATACCAGCGTAAAATAGCAGCTTAATGCTGCTGTGTTTCGTATGGTGAGTGTAGAGAACCGGAGACCCATTTTACTGGCAAAGAGGCATTCTATCTTAGTCCTCACGGCTGACAACGCATCTACATTGTAATTCCCAAACGAAGATGAATGTAGGTAGATGTCTATGGGCCACAGCAACCACTTACCATCAGGTGGATGTGTGCTCGTTTGTCACCCTTATTCTATAAAAAAAAAACAAAGTCTTGCACTGTGCTCAATACCGTGAGTAACTTCTTCTTCTTAACTGATTCTTGGTCTAGTGGCCGCAAACGCGACTTCTGATCACGTGGCCCCGGGTTTGGATCCCGGGTCGGGCCAAAATCAGTTATTAGGTTTTCTGTTAAAGTAGCAGCCTCGAAAAGCACATAAATCCGTTAGTCCTGCGCGTGATCTCTCTCCGGTCCGTCAGATTTTTGTTCAGGAATAGTGAGTGAACCTGTGTTGCGCACACACTCGTGCACTATAATGATGAGCTATTTAATATAAGTTTTAGAGCGACTGCTTATCCCTGACCTTCCACGGTTCTGCTAAATTTATTGAGACACATTTTACAAACAAAACTTACCGAGGCGAAATTTGCTCGAAAGCTTTAGGCTGCATCAAATTTATGTCATCGGCATTATCACAAAGCAATCGAGCCATCGATGATCCGTGTCGAATCGATTCAAGTTGACCTATAAAGCATAATGCAAAGTTATTACAAAGTTAACAACTTTAATGGCATATGTTTTGGAAGATAGATAAATAGAAAAAATAGTAAAAAGATTTTTTATTGCATTTTAAATTATTGGTACAAAGGCGAATTTAATGCCGGAAAGGCATTGTCCGCTTGCTAACTTATCTGGCTTCACAATTAGATAAAGGGGTTTACTAAAGTAACAGTTCCTATTTAACAAATAGGGAAACAAAATGTAACCCGTACGATAAGGCCTCAACGGAGAGCTTACTCATCTATTACTTCCTTTCCATCTAGGGGTTCGGCAAGACGTGCGGCGTGGAGTTAAGTTCGTAGTGTTTTCCGAGGCTTGAGTTATAAGGCAAATCGCCGCCTTGCAGTCACATACTGCCGAACGCTTTTGACTGAAGCCTTAGCCTTAGGCTACCAAAATGAGAAGCTTTAGGCTTCAGTGAAAAGATACAACAACATCATACAACTCAAGCGGGTGTAACTCAGGATACCCAGCGCGTATTTGCTATGCCACGCTGCTCGCATCACCCCGCAACTAAGTCTACACTAAAGTTGCCGTCATCATCACCAGCTGTCCTTTCATTGTTGTCAACATATACCAAGCATTCAAAATAAACGATCTGGTTTCGTAATGCGTACGACAAAGAAGTTTCAAGCCCATTACAAAGTGAGTATTTTCAAGCAGTTCAAGAATAAATAGGCTTTTGTGAAGCTAAGCCAGTGTACTTTACTATCTTCGGTACATCACTATTAACTTGATCTCAGGTGGAATAGGGAAGGTGGTGAAGCACTGACAAATAATACGAAATTTTCCTTGAACAGACTATTACTTACGTAGAGTAAATGCAGACTCAGGATCTGCTCCGTTTTCATAGAAATACCGATCCCCAGCACGCGTGCGGTAGAATTGTTCAGTGAGGATGCAAAGGAAAGTTGGTCCAGCTTGTGCTCCAGGTACATTACGCTCTAAGGACCCGGCTACCACCAGTTCAACGTCCTCAGGTGTCTCGTAAAGAGTTTCCAGTATTAGCACATTCTAGGAAACAAAAATTTATTTATTATTTTTTATATTGAATTCCGAAGCAAGGTGGCAGCTGCAAATACACGATCCCACTTCCTCCCATGGGTTAGTCGTAAGAGACGACTTTAAAAACTGTTTGAACAACCTTGTAGCGTAACAGATGGCGGTATATCATTTCGCATACATTCGATTCCCAGATGAAAAATGACTTCTCCTACTCCGATCACAAAAGTCAAAATTTGCCACGTTACCGTGGCAATGACGGCAAATAACTATAGGACAGGTCTACGTTCAACAGTGGCTTATAAATAAATTTTTTTATTCATTCATTCTCAGATCTCTATTTCACCTAAAATGTACAATTGCTTAGAGAAACGTTCTCTACCAGCCCAGTTAATAAACATGAAAATCATCAACAGAGCGTACCAACGAAAAAAAATATTAAACATATTTGTCACCACTACTTGTTATCATTAGATTATAATTATAACAATTGATGAATATACTGTGTTTACTCAATTAAGTAGGCGGTTAAATACACTTCTATGTAATTGTAAAATATATGAGATTTTATAATTTATTCCATCCTACGAATGTTATTACTTCTTTATTGCTTTTCCAACTGTTAACACTGTTATTAATTCATAGTAAGTTAGTTAGTTATTCATACAAGCCAGCGGTTGTGTTCGTACTTTTGACTTGTCTAAAATTTTGAATATTTTTTTTTAATTTAAATTATATAACTAATAACATAATTAATTAATAACTTAAATTGTTTCTTATATTTACGCGAGTACTACACATTTAATAAAAACTATTTGTACGGATTTTATCACATTTCATTTACTTATTTTTAATTCTTGGTGCTTTACAGTACTCATGGTCGTGGGAGGGAGGCGGGAAAGACTAAGATGTTTAATGTCCAATGTCATACTTAGCTCCTTTATCTTCAGTTTTATAGATCCATAAAAACCTGCGTGAAAGAACATATAGCTGACATGAATTAAAATAAGTAAGTTTAAGATAAAATCAATAAAAAATAGTTTTATTGAACATGATTTTTTTTAAGATAATGGAATAATGAAATTAAAAACATGCGATTGCGATTAATTTCAACAACACGTGAAACATTTGACAGTAAACTTTAAACATTGAAGAATACCAACCACAAACTTTATTTATACGTGATGCATCCTGCTGGTTAACGGACAAAGATCTGGCGGCCTAAACTTCATCACATTACACCAAACACAAATCACACAGAGTCATGATGAGGAACAACGGTAACAATGCGTGATGTCGACACTGCAGTCACCAAAAAGCCTGACCATCGTTATGAGCACGGGCAAATATTAGAGTAGTTACGGGTAGTAAGTGGGAAGCCCAATGTAATCCAGTGACCTCGGTTGGACTTTGGCCTTCCCCACTACTTTACCTGTCTTAACACTTGTTAAGGTTGTAAACTTTATCAAAATAGTACAGAATAACATACCTCCTCCGAAATATAATCAAGCATATCTTGGAAAGTCTTGGGCACTGGAAGGTTGCAGGCAGCTCGCGTAGATATATAGGTACCGAGACCGTGGTCGCGCCCGCGTTGAATGTCAGTAGCTCTCAAATCACTACCGAACGTGTTATTACGTCTAAATAAAAAAAAATACTTATTAATTCGTTTTATAATGGTTGAATAGTTATTGATAGAAGCAAAATGGTCACACATTAGGTTTTGCCGGAGCTCACTGTATAGTACTGTCATAAATATGAATTTTAAGCTGCACAGCTTAATATTCAAAATAATATGTAATACGAGTATAACTGTTTACTATATCTAGAAATTGAGAAAACTTTGAATAATGATTGCTTAAAATTTGATGAATGCCTAAATGTTGGTGATTGCATATAATTGTTGTTGTTTGGTTATTTTGTTTTCTTTTATCAAAATGTTACTACGCTGGGATTTTATCCAGTATCTTGGAGGCCATTTACATACCTTAATTGCACAAGGAAAAAAAAAGATCTGGGTATTTAAGTCTTCTTTCCACACAATAAGTTTTAGCTTAAGCTCTCTTTACTTTGTATTAAAAGTATTTTTTTTCGTGATTATGCTCTCTTTAACGCATGTTGCATTTTAGTATTTTTGTTTCTTTGTTATTATTTGAGAACAGAGTTATGTCAAGCAAATATACTTACAAGAGTGTGGTTGCATATTTTTATTAACTTCAATTTTACATAATCTCGTATTACTCGGCTCTCCGGTATAAACAATCCGTCAAATTTTCACATTTGATATGTTATTAGATCAACTTTCAAATATTATCAATTTTATTTTCTTAGGTCTAAACCAAAGAGTATAATAATTATATACTTACAGAAAGTCTATAATTATTATACTCTAAAATATATGAAACTGAATGTTTAAAAGTGTATTGATCACTTTTAAAATATACTCATATATATCATTTGTTAATATTAATTGGTTATAACAATTGTCAGTCAACTAAATAATTAATAAACCAATCAATAATAATTTCTATCACTCCTTTCATCTTGTGCATGTCGTAAGAGGTGACTATGGAAATCACAGAAAGGAAGGCAAAAATGTCAAAGTTGGGAGATAACAATTACCAATCCGAATGCCGAGCGTTACGGTCAGTCCTTTCTACAATATGAGAGGTTTTGATTCAAAACAGCCTATCAACAGTGTAGGTACTACTGAAAATAGACATCCCCATGAGATTGTCTCATAGGTTGAATATAAGTAACTAATGTTCAATCAGAAATAAATATTTGTAACCCACATCAAGAATATTCTATTCTATACAAGCAGTACTAATTAAAAATGGTTACAGTTGAAACTGATCAGAACACATTTCACTCAGCCCTTACACAAAGAGACAAAAATCACAAATAATATAATCTCAACAAAATTCTGCAGTTATATGCTATCCTTATGATTCTGTAGTAATCGATGCTAGATACACTTCTAATATTCTGGTAGTAAGGTCTAATATTCGTTATTCACCTAAAGAACGCCGGCTTTTATATTTTTGCCTAAAATATAAAAATGTATTTTGATAAATAAACTTACTTAAACAGAAATTGCGTAATTTCATTATCCCAGTACTGGTCACTAAAGTCTTGCGGCTGCACAGTAAGACCTCTTGTTAATTCATCAAATGCGTTATTGGTTTCTAGCAGTAGAGGTCTGTTAAACCAGTCACTTAGTCGTACAGCACTGGATAATTTACGATTCTCAGTGAACATTCTGAAAGTTAAAAACAATTACGTATTTCATACATGCACATAATTCACATAAATTAATATTTTGAAGAATATTTTATTTAATATTTTGATCGAATGTAACTGGGACAAAAAAGTGTTAGTTTTTAAGTTCTTAAAATGTGTTGTATTTACTAGGTAATAATGTGTATCATTCAAAGGAACATTCAATCAAAGCATTATAATCATTTACACTATAACCTTTAAATATCAGGTTCACTATGTGCTCGTTTGTCACCCTCACATCTTCTTCTATATCTTTATTCTATACTAGCTGTCCCCGCAACTTCGCCCGCGTGGAATTTGTTGCGATTGAATTTCATGGGTTTTAATTTTATTTGTGCGGAACTTTAATTCTTTTTCTAAAATAAAAGTAGCCTAAGTTACTTCTTATAACATCAGCTATCTATCTGCCAGTGAAATTCCCATCCAGGTCGGTTCACAGGTTTTTGCGTGATGCGTGTTCAGACAGACGTCGTGTTAAATTTGATTATAGTATATACATATACTTACATATAATCAAATAGTAAATTTCAGTATTTTATATTTTTGTGACCTAAAAAATATTGAAAGAGACTAAAAATAACGTACCTATCACGTCTAAAGTACTAATATCTTTTTTTTTTTAAATAATTGTTGAGAAAATAATAAAAGGTATTTTCAAGTAACATCTTAGGCTTATTAAAATCGTTTCATTCTAATAAAAGTTGTGATTACTACTGAAATGTAGGTACAAATTTGTTTAATGGTGGCGTTGAGTCAGCAAGTGCAATATTATGTCAGAAATCGTAATAAAATTATGTAAAATAATGCTTTTATTGATATACTTATACCTAAAACACCTTAGACAAAAATGAGTATGTTAGAAAGTTAGAAAAATGGACAATAGTTTACCAGTGCTATCGATAGATGGTGCTGTGCAAATGTAATGCTGTAGATGTATTTTCTTAACTTCTGCTGAGCTTTATATGACTAATAGGCGAAAAAACTCAATATAATTATAGAAACTTTACTATGTACGTATTCCTTAAAATATCTTCATCGTAAAAAAGGTTGTGATGTGTTTGTGATTGTTTTTTTTTAAATAGCGCCTATCTGTTACAAGGACAAAAAGCCTTTATACGTCCTAATGTGTGTTGACGAAATATTTTTTTAAATTTAGGTTTGCTCACAATGTTTTTCTTCACAACCGAGTGTGTGTTAAATCCAATTTTAAAAATGCTATTAACAACTTTGTTGCTTTCGGTTAGGATCGAACTTAGGTTCTTTACGTGCTACGCGGGCACTTACCCTGAGCTACCAAGGATTGAGATCCTTTCCAAATCCTTATTTATCTATAAATTCAATACCTATGTTCTGGGATATTAGGAACCCATGATTCTTACTGATTTAAAGTCTTTTTTTTACATAACGTATCAAGCGCATCGAAAGTTTTGTCTTTTATTAATCTAGTTTTTACTATGGCTAGGTAGATATTTTTTGGATAAAAGTTGTTTTCGAATATAGAAAACTGACTGAATTGAACTGAACTCATATTTCGAATACTACTTTTGTCTTTCTTACTAGGCATAAATTACTCGCTAAAAGTTATTTCTGAATTTGATTATATAACCAAAGATTTTTTTATTTAGAAAGTAATACAAATAAATGATTTTGTGACAAAAATGTACTTCATTAATGTTAATTGTTATTTTCTGAAGGAAATTATGAAAGAAGACAAAAACTACGTTTTTAACACGTCTTATATTGTTCTTTTAAAAATATCGCGTATGAAATTTTGTTTATATCGCACAGACTTAAATCTGTAAACGTATAGAAAATATGTATGGTTACCATCGCAATGTTCAATTAAGTTAGCTGTAAGATAGCTGGCTTCCTCGAGGTATGCTAACCCCCCTACTCGTGTAGTGGCGGTGTAAGAATATCCACTACATCATATTATCCCGTGGATGTCGTAAGAGGCAACAGTGTGAAACTGATACAGGAAATGGGTAGCATCGTCTTCCTGTCATCAACTCAAAATTATAAAAAGCGTCGCAACTATGGAAAAATTCCCCCTATTAGGCAATTTATGGGAGAGGCTATTTTTCAGCAGTGGACTTTTATAGGCTGTAATGAGATTTAGTTTGTTTTACTGCTTTCTCGCTTGGTTTCTTTTAACATTTACCGTGAGGTAAATATATTTCACTTTAAATATATTATATTCTCCACGGTGCATGGCTATATTGGTACACTGCTAATTTTTTTTTAAAAGAAAGTGGTAGACACAGATATTGCCAACGGTTATAATGTTAGTGAGGCGATGTTTTATCTTACGAATTCGCTTAAAACGAAACGCCTACAACATTAAAATGGCAATTAACAACGCTATATTTTATGACGCAAAAATATCAAATTATTATCTATCCTCCTTCTCTGTCATCATCAGCCCGAAAGAGTCTATTGCAAGACATGGACCTCTTCCTCTGTAGGAGTGATAATTGTCACGGTTAACGATCGCAATACAACACGTCTAGCACCTTTGACATGGCTGTCCGTAGCCAATCTGGGTATTTTATATCTGGCTCAGAAATAACCGATTTGGATAAAGCGCCTTATATAAAAAGCCCTTTGGTTTTTCTGGAGTTTCCCATAGTCGCCCATGCACCTGGGACATAGAGGAGTGGTCAATTCATTTCCGTCGCTACTTCACGGCAAACAGTGAATTGTCATTCCTTCCTTATGATTTAATGAATTAAGTCTATGTTTTTACAAATAAGAGTAATTTCAACCTCTTTTTTAGTTTCTGATTTATATTATCTTGGTGTTTTGTTATTTTTATGTTAGTTATGTTACTTAGTTTTATTTAAATATAATATTAAACGAATACGACATCCTCGGTGTTGAAGTCATCCATGCACTCGATCGGTTTCATTATGAAATTACTCTTTATATGTATAAAATACTTATAATATTACTGGTTAAGTTGGAAGAGTGGTGCGGTTTATGAAATATTATCAATAGTTTCAAGAAATAAAACTTCAAAACAAGTAAGTTAATAGTAACAAACATTCTATGCGAACAAATTTGCGGGCACAGCTAGTTTTTAAATAAATGCATCTTACTGTAAATATCCACGAATTAATGTATGGAAATGTCTGAAAGCCGCTGTCGCGTGCTCATCGAGTACCGATGGGTCAACAGTAGGGTTGTAGTCATTAACATAGCCCTTCACGCCTGGGTAGATGAGTTTGTTCTCGACCATGTTTTGAAAACCTGTTAATAAATGAGAATTGTCATGAAAAATTTCTCAATATTTCATTCATATAATAAAATCTTTCATAATAAAATTAAAGCAATAGTATATTTGAAATACAACATTAAGGTTTTACAAACATTAATACATGTGTCTGTTATTTAATTTCATTTAGCTACAATTCCCTACTTCTCATAGGGTTTAGAAATTAAGCAAAGACAAAAATCATCGCCAAATATTTTCACATCTTAAATACTTTATAAATAATTTTATGAATGATGTATTTTGTTATTTAAAGGATTCCATCATCTATAATTTTTTCATAATTTACGTTATTACTCTAACTTACGTCATTTTGTATGATTTGTATGTCTTTGCTTAGTTCTTAAGTTTTTATAAAGGTCTTAACGAATGATTTTAAAATTGGTAAATAACAGTATTATAAATTTCTTTTCATAATGTGTTTACATATTAATATTCAAAATGCTGTTTTTCTTTATTAAAATAAATTAACTTACCAAGTAAAATGGGAAGATATTCATAGTAATTAATATGTTGTATTTCTGCTATGTGAATACGTCGCGCCTCCTGGTAAATCGTCTCATCATCCCAGAACGGATTGAGCTTAGCCAAAGTGTCAGCTATACGGTTGTGTTCGCGTAACAGTATAATTTGAAGTACTGTCAACTGAGGATTCTGGTTTACACGAATGTCACCTAAAGAGAAAAAATTATGTTCATAGGAAATCTCAGCATTAAGTTTTCGACTAGTCTATTTACTACTTGTGTAGGAAGGTATTCTTTTTCATTATTTTTATCGACCTAACTGCTAGAAATCGGTCTATCCTGTAATAGTAGGGATGCCTCGCCACAATTGATATAATTAGTAGGTTGCTCTCGTTATCTTATACAACACAACGAAATAATCATCAAGACTTATTACACCGAAATAAATCTACAATTATGTGTTAGAAACATGGCGTTTATAACAAATACAGTTTAAAAATCACAACATTTGCAATAATATTATTTTATATGCATATTTATACACCATAACAAAAATATAATATAAATGTAAAGGTAAAACAATTTATTCTAGAAACCATTTAAAATAATTTAATAACTAAATCTTATCAAATCATGGTCATGACATATTAGTAGCCATAAATGAAATGAGAATTAGAAGAAAATATTAAATTAGAGAGTCAAAATAATGTACCTTAACCACTTGTTGAAGAAATCTAAGCACTGAGCACGTTCAACCGACAGAGATAAGGAGTTTCAAAGCTTGACTTCGAACAGAGAAATATTTTTGCAAAATATAGAGATACAGGGCATTAGAAAAAAGGCATCCCTTGAACGATAGGGAAATATAATAATAAGAGGAGCTAAGAAGTTTAAAACGATCTTTTACATAGAGTGGACTTGACACAGATAATAAGTCGCAGTAGAGAGCAGATACTCGTAGAAAGTAATATTCTGATGAAGACTGATTGGGAGCCACTTAAGCTTGGTACAGTGTTCTAAAGCATGATTACATTCACAAAGTTCAAATATAAACTGTACACAGTGAATATGGAGTAGCTTAAGTTTGTTAAATAGTTCCGCAGTGGTATCAATATAACAAATGTCAGCATAATAAAAGCAGCAAAATGAAGGCTCCATGGCGCAGTGGTTTAGCAATCAGTTGTTGCGCTGGGGGCCGCGGGTTCGAATCCCGCACGGAACAAGTATTTGTATGGCCTACAAATAATTGTTCCGGGTCTGAATGTTTATCCTTGTGCAATTTATATTTGTAAACTGCCTCCACTACACAGGAGAAAATCCTAGTGTGTGGGTAACGTTTTTTAAAAAAAATATCAAGGACAGGAAATAAGGAAGAACAAATTTCAATGTGCAGAATTAATTGCATGCTACAAACAGGATACTGAAATTTTTAGCTTTAGTTATTTTCCATTGACAGATTTTTTCTTAACTTGAATATCAATTTTTGTAGGAGTTTTCTATTAAAAAAATATTTGATTTTCCAGAATTTTCATCACTGAAAACACTTTTGCAAATGTTATATGCTGCGCAGTAACGAAATAACTGCAAACGCTCTCCCAGACTCGCGGGACTGGATAAGCCAACTGACGAAATTATATTATTTTTCAAATTACCAAAAGGACCTTCCCAAAATTCGTCGCCAGCTCTCTGACTATACTTGATACACATTATCCTCAATAAGGTACATAATAATAATTTAGTGATATCATAAAGTAGTTTCGCGCTAGTAATATGTTCTAATTACTTCTATTATGATAAAATTTAGTTGTGCTAAAGCTTAGTCCCTTGATTTCGCTTGAGGGTTAACTATTTACTTTTATAACACCACAATTTTAATGTTCGAAATCTAAACAATGTGTAGTATATTTTCTTAAAATAAAATAGTAATAATACATAATAATTAATTTCAAGTTTTAAAGACCTTTGAATACAAATGAAATTTAAAAAAATATTCAGGATAAAAGCATATTATATAGAGAAACAAAAAAGCAACTAAAATTATTTTAAAAAATTAATTTTTACCAGCTAAATAGCAAGGTTCGTTGGGCGATCGAGCAGATTCACATGACAAAGTAATGTTGGGGTCCTGAGGTGGCCATTCACGACCTTTCCGCACTAGGGTCGTCAGGCGGCCTCCAGTAAAAGCACGAATAGCTGCTGCCTGCGATGCACTGCTGCCATACACCAACGATAGATCCATATAGGCCGTGACCACTGAAAGCTATTTATGGAAATAATAAAACACTTTAATCTTTTTCAATGTCATAAGCAAACCGAACGGATTCCATTGTAAAAACAGAGCCTTTACCCCTCTACCATTATATCACAAAACAACTGTTCTCCCACTATTGTATATTTCGATTTGCAGGGTTCGAATAGAGAACCCAGATCCACGGTGCAGCTATGTTATTGTCGCAGCTTGAGTGGGTCGTTTAGACCGATGAAGGGTCACGCTCTCACAGAAAACCAGCATTAAAAAGCAGTTTTATGTTTCTATATTTCGTATGGTGCAGCGTTCTATCTTTCTCATCAAAAGTGGCAAACACATCTACAATTTGATTTATAATAGAAGATAGATGTAGGTATCTATAGGCCACTGTATCAATGCATCAACATACCATAAGGACTGGACTATGTGCTCGTTTGTCACCCTAAATAAATAATAAAAAGAGTATATTATATCTAATTCATTTGAAAGTCATTATATATTCATATGTACAAGATCTTTTACCACCTTTATTAAGTCCATTAGATTAAATTGACTGATTCAATACTGTACAAATCATATTTTATCATATTTCGTATTTGTCTCTTTCGTGTAGGTAACAAAATAAATAAAATAGATGGGACCTCACAACAAAATTCCCAGTAGAAACGACAAAAATAAAAAACCTAGAACATGAAATAGGAAAAAAGAAATACCCTTAAAATTTTACTTAGGTATTAAAAATTGTCTAACCATATTCAGAATCCATATAAGTAAATAATATGGACTGTAAATTATGAAATTCGGTTAGTATGCCATTTCAATATATCATAAAAGAAAGATTCCGTGTTGACTGAAAACAATCCGATCTTATTATTTGTTATATACGGAGGTTTAATTAATAACGAACGAACATATGTACATACGTAAATAAGTACATACACAGATATCCTCCTAAAAATAATAGCATCTGAATCTAGAGACGTTCAAACGTGAATGACCGATAGTCGCGCGGACTATTCGTACGTGCAGACAATGGGCCCCACTTGTAACTCAACCAATTGTCCCCACTACACGCTCAACCACCGGACGGCCGGCCGCTCCTAAAGGAGGTCATCAAGTCTCCTATTTTTGTCTATGAAATATAACCAAATGAATAGACTATAGATCCCACCGCAAAGAACCAAAACAGAAGTGGTAAAAAACTTACCACTTCCCACACCAACATGCCAATCAAGGCGCCCAAGACCGGAGCAGCAGTGTCTCCTTTGAGAGGAAGTCCGGGTTATGGGGGAAATCCCCCGATACTCGTATCGTTTAAGGGGCACAAGCGCCCCTAGGAGGATACGAACGAACGTGAATGATATTAAAATTTGGACTGGAAAATCAGACCCAATACTTTCCACTTGGAAGTTATTAAATTACCGGTCTGGCGGGTGCATTTCGTGCTGTACATCCTCTGTCCCTCGATGATATAGTTCTAACGAAGTTCATACACTGCGTTCCTTGAAGACTATGAATGATATCATTGGGTGGTATGAGCATTGTGGCACACATTGGATTGGATGAAGCTTCTGGTGTTAATCGTCCATTGTCATCGCAGCATGTCAACAAATCCTTATCTGTTGAGCAGAAAATTAAATAATCAATGCCGAGTCTATTGTCTATTATTAAACTAACGGTGAAAATATATAAAACTGAAGTGACTGATAAACTTACAGTCACAAGACATGGTACTCGTAAGTTGCTATTGCATTTCGTAGAAACCTGCAGTCCAATGATGGGCATCCACGACTTTTCTGCCACCAGGGTGGCGCCACTTTACAGTGAGGTAAAATATTTGACAGATTTCATATTGGGAACGATAATTTCTTAGGAAAATGTAATCTTTAAGACTTCTTTCTATATTATTAGTTATATTTTATATTAATTACATTAGAAATGAATAAACCAAACTATAAATAATAACTAAAAGCCAATTTTTAAAGTTATAATAAAGAGTTATAAAGTGCAAAAAATATAAAATCAAACCACTGACGCATTGTGTTGTGTATTAATATAATAAACTATTATTTCAAACTAATTTCTCAATTAACTGATACTGTGTAACAAAAACTTTACCTCAGTCACAACTAGCGACATCTGGTGAGTGGAAAATTATTAGCCCTCATTGAAACCAAGAGGTGGTTGGTGGTCAGCTCTGAGAACTAAGATGGAATCTCTCACAGACTGTAACTATACTGGCTCTGTATACCACTTCAGTGGAAGCACTGTTGTTTGGCGGCAGAAATAGTTAAGATTTAACCTAACCACACGGATTCCCAGACAGAAAAAGAGCCCTACCACCTTGTTAAACACAAAACATGTGCGCAATATTTTAAAATAACTTAAAATCATAATAATAATTTACGTGGTAGAGCCATGCTGTAGCTATATTAATAGTATAGTTGTAGCACGAATGGGTCGGCTCGACCGGGGAAGGACCACGCTCTCACAGAATACCAGCGTAAAATAGCAGCTTAATGCTGCTGTGTTTCGTATGGTGATTGTAGAGAACCGGATACCCATTTTACTGGAAAAGAGGCATCCTATCTTAGTCCTCACGGCTGACAACGCACCTGCATTTTAATTCGCAAAAGAAGATAAATGAAGATGTCTATGGGCCACAGCAACCACTTACCATTAGGTGGACTGTGTGCTCGTTTGTCACCCTTATTCTATAAAAAAAAGACAAATATCTATAAATATTAGTTTTATTAACCCCCGACGCAAAAGCGGCGTGTTATAAGTTTAACCGCTATTTGTCTCTGTCTGTCTGTGTGTTAGCCTGTGGCACGGTAGCTCTTAAACGGGTGAACCGATTTGGGTGCGGTTTTTTATTTATTTAAAAGCAGGTTTTCTAGCAGTGGTTCTTAGACATGTTTTATCGAAATCGGTTCAGCCAGGTGAATAACATCAGCTCTGTTTATTTCGTGGTTTTTTAAATTTTCAATTTAAATTATTTATTCAAATTACAGTACCTATTCATGTAAGTATAAAAAATCGTACCATACATCAACTAAATAATGTAACAATTGCTTTATTATGCTTGCGTGCAATTTATATAAAAGTAATATGAATTTATCTTTCTCTAAACGCTGGAAAGTTCTAAACACAGAATCTCGAAACTTCGTCTCGTAATGTGCTTTATTTGTTTTCAACATTTATTATTACATTTTATGTCTAAGTTTTTTCATCTGTTAGGTACCTACTTTGTTTGTTTTGATGTTCTTAAGGCAATTAATCTGTGAAAACTTTGTTGTTTGATGTTTTATTTATCTCTTTTTTAACCCCAGACGCTAAAAGGGGTTCGTTATAAGTTTGACCGCTATGTGTGTGTGTCTATCTATCTGTCTGTCTGTGGCACCTATATACTCTAATTTCACTATCGCTAGCCTTCTGCAAGATACGTAATACGCCTACAGGTGGGATTGTGGTCAAGCACTGACTTATAATAACAAAAAAAAAACGCCTACCGGTGGTAATTGGTGATGTAGCCCCAGATGGTAAATCGCATTGTCTTAGCGTAACAAAAGCCTATTCATTCTTGCATTGAAGACGCCCTGAATGTATTCGGACAGAAAGATAGTAGACGCTGGCAAGTTATTCCATTCTTTTTCTGTACGGATTACAAAAGATGAAGCAAACCGTTTGTATAGTTGTTATAATATATAATTTTACCTCAATATAAAATAATTTAATATAATGTTTTCGCGACAGATATAATAAATTAACATTTAATTCGTCATCATTAACGTAATAATGATATTCAATACAGATAAAAATATTTAAAATAAAGACTGCGGTGTATACAAAATTGTCGAACATTAGTACATAAAAATTGTACGATAAAATTGTTAAATTTAGCAAAATCTACATACGTGTCTGTGCTACGCCGGCAGTCAATGACATATCATGTGTTATAATTTGCCCCCACTGTTGCGTGATTAGAGTCCAAACGGGATCAATTAACTTTTTGTCTGGGAACAACCTTACACTAATTTCACGAGCATTTGGTAATTGTCGTCTAGTCGAAGAAACTGGCAGTGCACTGATACCTGAAACAATAAAGATAAAAATGTCACATTTCAATGCCTTTTCCTGTGTTAAATACTCATCACATTTTTTTTGTAATATGTAATATGTATTTTTACCAAAGTAAAAAAATTAAAGTTACAATAAATTAAATTATCATACATTTATACTTATACGTGCCACGCTGCAATACGTGGTAGAGTCACGTGGCAGCTGTATTACGGTTGTAACACGAATGGGTCAGCTAGATGGGAAAGGACCACACTCTCACAGAATAATGGCGTAAAATAGCTTATGGCAGCTTATGGCTGCATTGTTTCGTATGGTGCGTGCAGAGAACGGGAGACCTTTTTACTGGAAACGAGATGTTGATATCTATGAGCCACGGCATCCACTTACCAACAGGTGGACTGTGTGCTTGTTTGTCACTTTTGTTCTATAAAAAAAAAAACAGTCCTACTCCCCGCGCTATCGTGCCAAGAACGCTGCCTGCGTTTCCTCGCTTAATGGCGCAAATTTAGCCTTTGAGCGAGAAAAGAGCCCCTTTTATCACCAGCGATGACGAAGAGTCGCGAATACTGGTTTTTAGGAACTTCGTCGCACGTGGACACCACGGACCGATAGGCTCTACAGCAAATGGCACAAATATGTAGTCATTGCTCAAAGACCTACTTGCGCGACTTATTCAGTTCAACTGTGTCTGATACCGCCTCAGCTTTAAAGGAGGATGAGATGATAGATTGCCAAAGTATCTATGCACGTAACACCCCATTATTTAAAATTAAAATTAAATTACTCTTAAACTACTTTGATAACTTCTAAACATTATATAACTATTTGAATGTAATGTAATTTAAAAACAATACTCACCGTCCCCGTAGTTATATTTCGTTAAGCGGCCGTAAGGAGTTTGAGGTACACCCCATATAGGTTTTTGTAAGTTATTACAGGTGCCATCAATAGTTCTGTATCGGGACTTAGTACAAAAGGGCGGAGCGACACCACAAGTTTGTCCTGCTTGGTTAGGTCCAGAGTTCTGGGGAGGCGGTGGATTACTGAAACTATAATCACAGTGATCAACTTTTGTTTTTGACATTTTGCAGAACTAATAAAAACATTAATATACGTACAACGCATTATATATTTATTAGGATAAAATAACAAATTAATAAAAAAGTAATATACACTATATTTACATAATGTAAAAACATACAAAAGCTGTTAGAATAGTTTATAATAAGACAGTGATTAAAGATTAAATTAAGATTAAATTATAAAATAGTAATAATTACCTGGAGCTAGGGTATTCGCCATATCCTTGATTGTTGGATGACTCTTGTCTGTTGAAAATAATCAGTACATGTGTTAAACACAGATATGCATGCAACATACAATTGTGAAATTAATACACATAGACCAACATAGAATTTCTTACGATATTTGCCAGCGATTAGAATGTCACTTTAAATAATAATTGTAATGCGTTTGATTACTAGGAGTGCATAATACATCAAATGCAAAATGAAACATAATAATTATTACTTTTAACAAAAAGTAAGAACCGACTTCAAATTACTAAAAAAGAAGTTGTTTATTTGCTACCCTTGGGGGTGAAATTTTTTCTCCACATGTATATGGGATCAACCTTGAACCTTTTTAATAAAAAAAATAATCATCAAAATTGATTCACAATCTGCGAAGACATACACAGCAGGGCAGAAAAAGATTATTATTATTCCTATTAATAGTCTAGTGTGCATTACGACTGTTCTGGATCCGTTTGATTATGTCATATCACAAACTATGTGTCCAGGTTTAAGACCAACAACACTTAATAGTCCAGGACGGGTGAGAGCATAACCCCGTAAACCCTCTTTGTATCCACCCATAGTACAGGAAATGCGATACTGACGTAATTTTCACGTTCTTTAAAGTTTGTATGTACACAAAAATAATAGTAGTATAAAATCATTTATTATATGCATTTATTTTACTTACCCAAACCCATTTACCGGGAACCTTATACTTGGAGCATCAAATGAAAAAGGTATATTATAACTACTAGGGACTTGGAAATCAAAAGGTGATATTCTCTGAAGAAATGAATGTCTGTGGTCGTTCAAAAAGCTCCGATAGTCGGCATTAGCTGCGGCACAGAATACCAGCATTAACATATATAATAGTTGGGCCATCGTCTGTAACAAAGAAAACTTACATAAACATATAAATAAACACATACCTACATATTTTAAAAATGGAAAATAAACCAGGAGCCAATAAAAATACAATATCCAACCTAACCTAGCCTAATCGATAATGATAATCGTGTACACGATAATATGTCTATGTCTGTGTATGTATGTGTATGTCTTCCGAGCCGATTTCAATTGTAACGACTCCCACTTATATAGCCAAAAGTTGCCAAATACTATGGTATAAAAGTTACTGCAAATATACTTCCCACATATGGAAACCCCTAAAACACAAGGCTAACCCCCTTTCATTTCTGAGTGTTTAGGGCAAGGCGTCTGCCGCGCTGCCCCTATGCGTGTTGGCGACTTATGGTGAAGTATAATTTAGAGGTGGGAATGATGTCTTTTTGGCCAATTTTGAATATGGCGACAACTTCCAAGTAATCGTTAAGTTAATGCGTTAAGACCATAGGCACAAATACACAAACATTTGACATGTTGTTATTTGCCATAGTTGCCACGCTTGGCAAGTGGGATGGCAACCGCAGTTTTTTATTTTTAGTCGTTATTAGAATGACGCTGCTGCCCATTTCCTGATTTCTTTCCCTCTGTTGCCTCTTACAACTCCCACCGGATAATATGGGTTAGTGGATATTCTTACACCGCCAGTACATGGTAATCCAATATTATACTTTATAAATTACTTTTATTATTGAAATATGAATGCTTATTAGAGTGACAATTATCATAAGTTTGTATGTGAAATAATTTCTAAAATTAGTTGGCTATGTAATAATTTATGTAATTACTTGCAAGTACATTCATTACTATTACAGCCAATTAGAAGTCTACTGCTGAAAATAGGCTTTCCTGCCTGCCACATAGAGGGGATATTTGCCATAGTATCCACCCTTGGCATGCGGGTCGGTAACCGCAGTTTTTTAGTTTTAGTCGTTATTAGGATGACGCTGCTGCCCATTTCCTGATTTCTTTCCCTCTGTCGCCTCTTACGACTCCCACGGGATTGTAATGGATATTCTTACATCGCCACTATACGGTATATAAAAATTGCCAAAAATTGCAAAATAACCTCAATAAAACAAAAAAAAATTAACAGATATTTTACATGAGTAACAAATCCTCGTCATTAAATGAGTTAAATCAAAATTTAGGTTTTCCACATAATGCGATGTAAAGAGTATTTAATTATTTACATTACAATCGTATCCAGAAGCGTGGAATACGAGTGTAATATGAAACATAATCGCATGTTCTGTCGAATCGAATATTGATGATGATATTCTTAAAAAAATCACCACTAGATCTCTCTGATTGAAATCGTAGAGTAAGGTTAAACAATGTAATACATATATTTTTATTTTTTACGTGGTAGAGCCATACTGCAGCTATATTAGTAGTATAGTTGTAGCACGAATGGGTTGACTCGACCGGGGAAGGAACACGCTCTCACAGAATACTAGCGTAAAATAGCACCCGCTGCGTTTCGTATGGTGAGTGTAGAGTACTGGAGACCCATTTAACTGGAAACGAGACATTCCAACTTAGTCCTCACGGCTCGACCACGTATAAACTTGCTCTTACTATTTTAAAATATTGTCTTCTCGTTCCTTGATTTATGTAGGTACATATATAGGTACATACATATAGGTAGTCCGCTCGAGGCAAGTCTGGAAGATTTCGAATATTTTGAAAGAAAATTATATTAATATTTACTTAAATAACTTTAGAAAAAATTCTTAATTTATCTTTAAATACAACAGTCTGGACTCAAGCTAATTTACTAATAAAATTTGCAGGAATCGGTGTATCTTTCTAGTATGTATGTGACTGTATTTACGACTCGTCGTCACTGCAGGTGATACGTAGGCTGGTTCTTTTCTCGTTCTAAGGCTAAGTCTATTCATTTAGAGAGCAAGTGTAGCGCGGGTAGCAGAACTGTATGATAATATACGTTTTTATTTTTATTTTATATCATGGTAATAAATATTATATAGGTATATTATTGTTATGTAAATAAACTCAAATAATAATAAGTTTTTGTAAATATATATAAGGCAAGCAATCAGAAATCTAAAGCTATTTTTCTTTTAGAAACATTGAGCGCAACATTTTAAGCTCACATTAAAAATAAAATTGAGCGTGTATAAAGTCGTTTGCGTAAACAACGGCAGTTCCTCTTCCGACAGTAGTGCCCGGTCTATTATAGTGTTTATTCATTTAACATTATCAAATTATCTTGATACACTCGGCTGAGCACGGTCCGATTAATTTACTAGATCGTTAAAGCTGCTCATAATGTTCCTATTTAATAACACGTTAGACACATCGATCACTAATGATCGTTGGTTAGACACAATAAAAAGTTAAATAAATTTTACAATTTTTAATAAAGTCACAACATTTCCTACTACGTCACTACCAATTACTATTATGCAATTTATCAATGCCAGCCTATTTACCTCTCTGTATTGGTAACAAAGTATTAGTGAGCTGTGCGTTCGAGTGTGTTCACAAAATCAATTTACACAAACTACTATCATAGGCATAGTTGAATAAGTTCGATTACAAATGGCACAAAATTGTAGTTTTCAACAGACTTAAAAAAAGGGGTTATCAGTTCGACTGTATTTTGTAATGTCTGTTATGTCAGAACTTTATTCTAGGTGAACCGATTTTGATGATTATTTTTTTAATTTGAAAGCTGATGCTTCTTATGTAGTTTTTGAGTTATCCTTAATAATACGTATTTAATTTTTTTTTCTTTTATTTAACAAAATTTAACAAATCTATAGTATCGATGTATACATATACACATACACATATACATTCGAGGTACACACCTATACATAATAACTACAGCTTATATTGTTGTAGAATGGATCATCACGATACAAATGTAAAATTTTACTATTTATTAGTATGAACTTTTTTAACTTATTTTTAAACTGTGTTTTTGTTTTATGCGTAAGGCATTCTCCCGGTAAATTGTTGTATATTTTCGATGTTAAACATTGAAATGTTCTTTTGCCATAATAATCAGCACATTTATATTGCAATGTTATTACTTTACGCGGTCTGCGCGTATTCTTATTTATGGGCATATAACTACTCAATGCGTTACATAAGATTGAATAATACTTATCACATGTCGCAAATGGTATTTTAAATTGCTCGTGTATCGGTATTAAATTACACTCCTGAAAGAGCTGCTCATAATTATCCCTAAATTTAATTTTAGCTTTTGGGTTAGCCAATATTTTCATAAATCTAATTTGAAATTGCTTTAATTTATCTATATATGTTTTAAAAGTCCTTCCATATGCTACTAATCCATATTGCAACGTTGACTCAACTAGTGCGTAATAAACAACATACAGTACGGCTTTAGATGTTACTTTCTTCAAAAAATGGAATTTACTTAATATGCCTCTTAATTTATTACACACCTGTTCTATATGACTACCCCAGTTCATATTTCTATCTATTGTTACGCCTAGATATTTGAAATGTTTTACAAATTCTATAATTGCACATTTACAATTAAGCATATTTTCATGTATACATTGGTATGAGTGACCCACTATCTTATATTCTTTTGAATTTTTAATATTATGCGGTGATGACATATGAGATGTTTTCGCTGTGTTAATAATAACAGTTATGTTGTTAAAATCGATTTGTATCTTTTTCTCTATTTCATCTTAATTTTTGTCAGCATAAAGGATACACATATCATCCGCATACATAAAAACAGCACAGTGTTCGATTACATTACATATACTGTTGACGTGCATTATATAGCCCACTGGTCCATATACGGATCCAGTAGGAACGCCTGACTTTACATTTTCCTCTTTTCCAGATATATTTTTAATAACTGTCACTATTTTCCTATTTTGCAAATAATTACTTAGCCAATTGTTTATAGGATCTCGTATACCACATTCATCCATTGATTTCAACAAATGATTATGTTCTAAAGTGTCAAAGGCTTTTTCTAAATCAATAAATATGCCTACTACATGTTTCCTTTCATTTAATCTTTCATTTATATAGTCTGTAAAGTTAGTTGTGGCTGTAGCAGTACTCCTATTTCTTCGAAATCAATGCTGACGATCGATAATATAAAATTATTCTCCAAGAAATTTGTTATTTTTTTAACAATTACTTTTTCGATTAGCTTGTTTATGACAGAAAGTATAGCAATAGGCCTGTAATTTTCATAATTTTTATGGCTTCCTTGTTTATAAACAGGTCGAATTTTTACCTTTTTAAGCCTATCTGGATATATATATATATATATCTTTTTCTACACATAAATTGATAAAATTAGCAATTACAGGACTAATTTGATCTTTGACATAATTTAAATTTTGGACTCTTATTCCATCAACACCAGGAGCTTTTTCACACGACAATTCATTAATTATTTTTTTTAATTTGGCATTGAGTCGTTTTTCTATATCTTATACTTACCAAGCTTTCATTAACATATTTACTTCTATCCAAAAATTTAATTTCACATTTATGCTTAATTGTATCTATTTCTTGTGTAAATGTTTTACAAAAACCTGTACAAATCGAACTTATATTACTATTACTACTAAAATGTTGTAATATAAAATCATCCACATTTACTTTTTTTTTACCTATCCATTCATTAATATACATCCATTTTTTTCTCAGATCATTTCCGCACTTAATAATTAACCCTTTTTTATAGTTATCCATAACTAGGTTAATACGCTTATTTAACTTATTTCTATATCTTGTATATTCTAACCGATAACACATATTTTGTGGAGCAGATTTCGATCTTTTAAAAAGTTCATCCCTTTTTTAGTTATTAGAATTAGTTCATTTGTAATCCACGGTTTACATCTTTTATTATTCATCACTGTTTTATATTTTATTGCACATTTATATATTTCATCGAAAATAATTCATCGAAATTGACTTCGACTACATTGATTATGTTC